CGAACAAACAGCGGACGTTCAACGCGGCCGTCAAAGACATCGACTTCTGGTTAGGAGAAGTGGAAGGACTGCTCAAGAGTGAGGACTCCGGCAAAGACTTGGCGTCCGTTCAGAATCTGATTAAAAAACATCAGTTGGTTGAGGCGGACATCCAGGCCCACGAGGACCGCATACGCGACATGAATGGGTTGGCCGACAGTCTTATAGAGTCGGGTCAGTTCGATACGGCCACCATTCAGGAGAAGCGCTCGTCTATTAACGAACGGTACGTCTGTCCCCCATATGTCTACGGACTCCAGGTTTTGTGTGTTTGCTATAATGAAAGTGCGTTTGAATGGAGTTTTAGTGCACTTATAGTTGAGTTTTGTATTTATGCTTTAAATTGAATTTAATTTTATTCGTATAACTTATTTAAAGTAAGTTTTATTTATGCTTAAAGTAAACACAATTTTCAATTGAATCTATGATTTAAAATAACTGTTTATTAATTGAATTACTTTTTTGACTGAACGTGTCGTTCACTCCTAACAACTCATACCTCATGGGACGGCACCGATAGGTACGAGCGGGTGAAGACACTGGCGACCTACCGGCGCACTCGACTGAACGAAGCGAATACTCTGCACCAGTTCTTCAGAGACATCGCGGACGAGGAGTCGTGGATCAAAGAGAAGAAGCTGTTGGTCAACAGCGACGACTACGGACGCGATCTGACGGGTGTACAGAATTTGCGCAAAAAACACAAACGCCTGGAGGCGGAGCTCCAGTCGCACGAGCCGTCCATTCAGGCCGTACAGGACGCCGGCCAGCAGCTGATGGTTGAGAGCAATCTGGGAGTGCCGGAGATCGAGCAGCGGCTACAGGCGCTCGAGCAGAACTGGCACGACCTGAAACGCATGGCGCAGCTCAGGGGCAATAAATTGGAGGAGTCGCTGGTCTTCCAGCAGTTTTTGGCTAAAGTGGAGGAAGAGGAGGCTTGGATTTCGGAGAAGCATCAGCTCCTGTCCATCGAGGACTACGGCGACACTATGGCCGCCGTTCAGGTGTGTGTTGTTTCATGGGATCGGGATTTGCATTCAGTTTTGGTGTAGTTTTGTGTGTTTTTCAGGAATAGGGAATTGAATGGGTTTTAGGCATTCATTGCCAGTAAGAGTCGGCACTAATTAATAGCCTTTTTTGTGTCCCAAACGGTAGGGTTTGTTGAAAAAACATGACGCCTTCGAAGCGGACTTCGCTGTACACCGGGAGAGGTGTGCGGACATCATAAACGCGGGCCAACAGCTCGTCCAGGAGGGGAACCACCACTCGGACGGCATTCAACAGCGTCTGCAGCAACTGTCCACCCGTTTAGACGCGTTAGACGGCAGCGCCCGGCGCCGTAAGGGTAAGCTGTTGGACAACTCGGCGTACCTGCAGTTCATGTGGAAGGCCGATGTGGTCGAGTCGTGGATCGCCGACAAGGAGGTACAGGTGCGCAGCGATGACT